GGATGATAAGAATTATATATGAACATATGTCTACAGTTAAGACTTCAAAATAAAACACATTATCACTCAAATTAGAGAGGGGAACTAAATTGGAGGTAGCAGCCTACCGATTCAACAAGCTGAAATTACATGCCTCCTAATATAATATAAATATTTATTTTAGCATCATGACCATAAGTTTGGTCAATTTAATCCTTTTTTAGTAAGACATGATTACTAAAACACACCGACTGCAAGAAGGGGAGTAAAAAGGGAGGAGGAAAAGTGCAGAAACCTAGGGATGCATGATGCCTGGCAGTGAAAGTCATTTTCAAAGACCATTAACTATCGACTGCTTTACTCAGGTCTCTGGTTAAGTAAGAATATACATCGTCTGTTAAAAGGGACGGGAGGGCTGCACGACTGGGATAGAGCTTAGAATAAAAATGTATTGTACAAACTAGAAAGAAGAATCAGGCCACGATATACAATTAGGCATCTGACTTGTAAGAAACACTGTCTATGTGCCTTTTAAACTGTTAATAAACATTCAAATTATTTGGCGGGGGCCAGGGGCAGGTAGGAAGTCAGACAAAACCACCATTTCCACTTGAAAATATAGATTCAACCAACGGAAACTGTGTTTGCCTATATGAATAGAAAGAACTAAAAGACTACTGGGAGAAAAATTCATTTCAAACCTGCTTTTAAATGGATTCCAGCAATGTTATTATATGTTTCTGACAATATATTTTATTTATCATTTCTCTGAAATGGGCTAGATTTTATATTAGTGAGAAAGTTTGCTTGACTCTGTCCTATCTCTGGTGAGCAGACGCTCTGGTATTAATGTAAATCACTGATTTAATTTTTAGCTTTCTTGGTTTGCCCCTCACCTATCTAGGAAATGATTTCTCTGGTGATAACTAACACATCATGCTAATGAGACAATCTAATGCACAATAGAAAAATGTCACTACTAATAATATTTGCATGAAGTTAAATAAAGCAACTGTAGGATAATGTCAGACAGTTGTTCTTTAACAAGACACAGTTTCACAATGAAATTATGTTGTTAATTTTGTTACATCATTGGGTGAATCCTAAATTACTACATAATGATGCACAGAGTCATTTATAATTCTAACTTAGTATTTCACTCGTGTCTGAAAAGAGACCTTATTAAGGGATCCGCATCTTATTTGAAACAGGTTAAATATACCTCACTAATAATAAAAGGTAAATGCCTCTAGTAATATGTAAAAGTGTGGGCTCTAGCCCTTTACCTGCTATGGTTTCATTTCTGAAAAGATTTCAAGATATATTAGACTACTGCATCCCTTGAGGTAGCTACAAACATTTTATTTGCTATTCTCTCACATGCACAAAAGATGTACAGAAATCGAAAAATCGCCATTTAAAGCCTGATTAAAAACAACAACAACAACTTCCAAAAGCAGTCCTGATTTTGTGCTTTTAACAGTACTTTGTGAGGTTAAAATGGGTAAAATAACATTCCGGACTCTAGGAGATGAACAGAGAAGATGAGCAAAGGGTTTCTGGTTATTCTCGACCTGTCACTGATCAAAGTGACCCAAAGAAGAACTCCCTTTACAAAAGTCAAGAGTCATGCCCTTTAAGGTTACCAAATATCTGTCTGTATGGAAAAATATTATCCCTTTTGAAAACATCATACTCAAATACAGGAGAAAAATGTAGAGAGGCAGGAAAATGCAGTCAAATTGTCATATCTCAAACTTTAGGGGAACAGACTTAGTTCCACCAAATCTAAATTGGCTTCAGATTGTGGTATCTTTTTTGTTAGAATTAATTACACAGACTGAAGATTTACATATTAGCAGATCTAACTTTGCTCATACAAAACAAAAGACAAAGATTTTCATAACCCTACTTCCTAAATTACCCATAGAAGATACAACCCTAGAATACTAAATTTCAGTATTCATGAGCTATTTCACACTCTTAAGTTTTGCTGTAGTTAAATACTACAGATGGTGAATTCTCTATAACTCAGTTTTAAAACCTGCTAGTCAGTCTTTTCTAATATTTAAAGAAACGGTCAGGTGAATCCTAGTTTTTCTTATTACAGAAAACTTTGAAATAAAAAATATACCGAATAAATTGTATTCATTTCATGAGCTACGTCAAGTTTTTCTTAGAAATTAAAATAATCATAATATAGAAAAAACATCTCTATGCCTTAGAAATACAAAATTCTGCAGACTTGATTAAACTGGACAAACTTTTACCTGCAGTAAGACAAAAGCTAGCTTAAGGTGTATACTGAGGCTAGTATTCCTTGAAACTGTTGGCTTTGCGAGGTATCTTCCTTGCTCTGGCACACACACACATACACACACGCACACACACACTCTGAATCAGCATTGCCGATGAACTATAGGTCAGGAAAATAAACATATTAAACATGTACAGCACATATATTTTTAGATTTACACAGTTTCAATTTAAGTTTACACAATATTTATACAAACCAAAATGTCATCCTAAAGGAGAAAAAAAAAAACCATGTAAACTCATACCCTCTTTCACATGCTTTCCAAAAATGCAGAGGAGGTTAAGCATTTAATAACCACGACAGGAGAAAAGAAGAGGGGGAGGGGAGTCTCCAATTACTTCAAAACCAAAAAATAAAGAAAATATATAAAATATAGTGAAATCACTACACTTTTTTAAATTGTGATTTTCTCCCTTGATTGTACTACTCTGTTTAGTAAATAGTATAATTAAATTATATAGTTTCATACAGCACCCATGATGCATAAATTACTTCCCTATATTTCTACTCTTTTCATATTATCACTGATGCTCACTTTCACACATACATGCACATAGGTACACACAAGAGATTTTTATACACCCACAGAGTGAAACAGCTGGATCAAAGACATCATAACGGCTTAGCTGTACAAGTTTCTGTCTCTGAGCGATTTCAATTTATTTTCCTAACTTTGATCCATCATTTATAGAATTTACTTTTATTTGTTTTTTAGCTAAAATGTTTTCCACGACTTAAAGTCTCCTTAGATTCAAATCTACTTGGAAATGGGCTAGTGCCAAAGAAGCAATCTAACACCATCTATGTGGTGCAATAGCCATTTATCAATTGATCATTATCTCTATCTGGTTTTATTAACTCTTTTCTAGCTAGAGGGAGACCTAAACCAATCTTCCCTTTCAAAACACACACACACACACACACACACACACACACACACACGACCTCCACTAACTCAAGAAAACCCTGAATATGACATCTAATTTGTAAAGTGCCAGAACAAGTTATTTGGTCCTAAGGCCAGTGAAAACACACTCTGTGTTCCAACCACGAAAACAGCCACCCAGGCAGGGACGTGCCTCAGAAATACACCTCTCAAAGCACTCGGCAACTCCAAGGAGTATCTCTGGGAGGAAATGAACTTTTTAACTTGCAAGAATGGGAAATTGCACATTAAGAGTTGCATATTGGGTTTGTGTTGATTGCATTTAAATCCCAGCTTACTGTATCAGCAGTAATCAGGGTCCCTCTACAGGATATGTCAAAATACACCTTATTCAAATGTATTTATCCTATCTAGAACTGTGTGATACAGCTGTTCGCTAGCTAAATGCTGCAAAGCGCTGGCTCTCTGCACTACCTTTCGCACATCTACTTCTAAACTTGCGGTAGTCTCTAGCCTGGCAAACTGCTTTCCTTCCTTCTTTACCAATACTTTAAAAATCGAATTAACTGAATAAAGTATTTAGTTCTCATGACCTCCTACAAACAAAACAGGTTTTTTAAAAAAGAACGCAGCTGCAGTATTTTTTTTAAATGAGTGGAGCACTATCCATTTTCTAACGACCTCCATCTACTTAAAATCCCAGTGAACTCGTCAGTAATACTTTCGTGCTGTGCGGAGGGTAGTATCATACTAACTCTTGCTGGTGGAGGCTTTTGAAAAGACGTGTCTGGGAGGGAGGCACCAGGGAACTTCCCTCCCTCGCTTGAGCACAGTCCAAGATGAAAGTTTCTGGGTTGTTTCCCTTCGCTTCCTCTCCCCCTCGCTCCCCCTCGGAGCCGCAGAGCCAGTGATTGTGCAAGAGGAGCCGGGCGCGCGGGGCGCGTAGGTACCACCGAGCGCACGGTACGTAGTACGAGCCGCGGACTCCGCTGATTAATGAGCAGTCGCCGGCGGCCTCGCGCGGACACGTCGGCTCTCCCCGCAGAGCCAGCGGCGGCACAGCCGGCCAGCCCGAGGACGGCTCTGGGGAGGACGCCGAGGCTGCCCGAGTGTGAGTGCGTCGGCCGGTGAGCGGGAGGGCGGGAGCCGAGCGGGCGCTGCGGGAGCGAAGGGCGAGCGCGGAGGAGGCGGCAGCGGCGGCGGCACGGAGGAAGTGGGACCGCCGGTGGCTCAGCCCGCCACACACGCCGCCTCCACCCGCGCCCCTCGGCGCTGCCAGCGGCTCTTGCGCAGTATCCTCTCCCGGGCCGGGTCGGAGTCCAGCCGCTTCCAGCCCCGGGAAGTCCGTCGGGCAGGGCCGAGGGGCCCCTGCATTTTATGGCTGTGAGGTTGGTAAACCTACTCGGAGACAGCAGCCACTTGGATGAAGGGATCAATGCAGATAGAAAGATAACATGGGGCGGGGGGTGGGGGGTGGGGGGTGTTGTGGTTGTTTTTAATTTTTAACAGAAAACAAAGAAATAAATGAAGTCTTCCCCTGACCCAGGACCCAGGCTGGACTGTGAAACTTTGCCACAGATGCCTTTGCTTTCTTCTACTTCGGTATCCTTTCCCCCCTTTTCTTGTTAAGTAGCCCTTAGGGAAGCCGTGAAGTAACCCTGCACGTTCCAATAACAGTTATGACATAACAGAACCCAACTACGAAGTGATCACAATTCAAAAATGTTTAGTAAGGAAAATACCAGAAACAAAAGTGCACATAACAATTCAAGGTTTCCTTAAAAAAAAAAAAAAAAAAAAAAAAAGAAAGTAACTTACCTGTTGGGACATTCTGAATAAGAGGTTAGTATCAGCGTTTTGCCATGTCCCCATGAACCCTGGTTCAGCCGGAGTCGTTCTGGTTCCGAACTGCATGGAGTTGTCAGTACAGCAGTCTCTTAAAGTCAAGTCTCTTGCCCTCTTTGGCTCTCTGTCTCTCTGTGTCTCTCTTTCTCTCACATCCACTTCTGCCTCTTCTGACTGAAAAGTGAAGGTGGATTTTTTGAGCCTCTTGGCAGCCAGTAGCAGGAGTGTAGTGTAGTTAAGAAGCTGGCTGAATTGTGCATTTCACTGGGGAAGGGGGAGATTTGGGGGAAGGAGGGGGTCAGAGCTTCTTTCGCACCTTCTGCACAGATACCCCTATCATTTATGCATAGATTGTGACTCCCCGAGCTTGCCTTTGCTCGGTTTAACAGCTGCCTGTCAGGTGTGCCGGCAGCACTGGAGACCCAACCATCAGCTTCAAACTCTCAGCTACTGCACGTCATTGGATAGCAGAGCTAAGAGTCAACTGCACTGTTCCACTGTCAGGCACTAAATGACACCCTGCACTAACCCCTCTCCAGACACACGGATAGAGAGATACACACTTATGTACACTCCAAGCAGCACCATGATCAGGGATGGTCCACGGGGCAAGGAGAGACTGGGGCCCTTCCCAGGGAATTTTTCCCAACAATGCTTTCGGGTATAGCATGCGATATCTGACATCAGTCTTTGCTTTAACATTTGTAAACCGCTCGGCTTAAAAACATTTTTCCCCCCTAATTACACTGGAAGAAAGAAAAATACTCAGCTATAAGAGAATGTGAAGTTGGCTTAGGTGTTGTCTAAAATGTTAGCTCCTAAAAGTCATATAGTATGTACTGGACTATTTATAACCACATATAAACTTCTAGAGAAAATAATATACATAGAGACATGACCTTACACTCTAAAAGGTAAATAAATAAACCTAGCAGTTTTTTGAACATAGAAGATGCACAATAAACATGTGCAAAATAAATACACACTATTTACTACCCAGTTCCCTCAGGGCATTAATTACTCAATTGGATGTTGAACAATAAGAAACTGAATGGGAAAGGAAAAAAGTGTACCTTTTCTTAAAGCTCAAAAGTAGAAAAAAAAAATCCTTTGTTAAAGTTCCTGGATGAAGCCTCTACAATATCCTTTCAAATTATAAAAAAGAAAAAGATGAAGAAAACAAGCCTGTCCCATTTCAGGTAAAAAGTAATGAATATAAAAACTCCATTTTTCATTCAAGATCTCCATGGAAAATTCTGTAACGTTTTCCGGCCTGATGAAATATAACCTCGACAGCGTGTCATATTTTTAATTAAACCAGGTTTAAAACACAACATCTATTTATTAGATCATATTTATCTACCTTCTTCATGGAAAAGCAGAACTGAACAAAACACACTGTACATACGCAGTAACTCCAAAATGGAAAGCTAAATTCATGTCATCTCATAAAAGTAGTCAGCAGCAAAAAGCCATCCTTCCTAAACTTAAAATGTAAGGCACATTAATCTTCGACCACCTACAAATACCGAGGACAAATGTACCACTCTCCTTGCTCTTTCTTAACTCAAGAATAACAATAAACCTTACTCTCTGAAACAACAAAAGAAACAGAAAAGAGCTTCCGTGGCAGCTCGGTGTCATTAGTGGACAATGAGAAAAGATGAGAAAACGTGCACTGTGTTGACACAAATGTGCCTTCCCCTCTAGAACCGACATCTCCTGAAAGCTTTTCTGTTAAACTTCCCTCCGGTTCACCACCATTAAGCACAAAACAAGTCTCAAAAGCAGCAAATTCAATATCTGAAGAGAAACAAACAAAAACCCGAAGAATTGTTGCCTTAAAATATATTAAGTCCACCTGTGGTCAATAAAATATTCTTGGCGGGGAGAGGGCAGGAAAAAGACCCTGTGAGTCAATTGTCAACAGTGACTGTACCTTTACAGCTAGCTATTACCCATTTAAACTCCCTCTAAAATTTGCTAGCCTCTTGATTTCTGAAGTGGCACTCAGTGCCTCAGTCAAGCTGCATGCTCAGCTCCTGACCTTCCCACTAATGGCTGTTATTTGTGGGAGGCTTAAGGACACTGTCAATAGCAAGCTTCCTCCTCGCTCCTTGCAGGCTCTGTTGTATCGCTTTGCCGGCGTGTTCTCTCTAGCGTGCCTCTGGCTCTCCTTGCTTTCACCCTCTCAGCTCCCCCTCCTTCCTTCTTCTCTCCTTCACTGCCTTTTCCTCTTCTTCCAGCCCCCACCCCTCCTTTCTCTCAGTCCTGTGGTCCTCTCCTTTCCCAGGTATCCCCTCCTCACCAACCACACATACACATACACATACACCACAAAAATCAACTGGCATGCAGCAGCAAGCACCTGCAGTAATAGACTCTTTTATTAAAACTGTTATTCTGCAAGACTTGAAATTCCCCGTGGACTGGGCCATGTCAAAGCCGATATAATTAACTAGAGGCTCAGCAATGGATCAATTACCAGACAAGCAAGTGATAGTGAAATCAATGAAAGATCATCAGCCACATTATCAGTGTTGCAACTCATTAGGGCAAAACTGAGAAATGTGCTCAAAGCGAGCCCAAGCAAGGTGGCATTACAAAACAAAGGGCTAATTTGGAGACCCTGCTGTGAACAATCTGTAACAGAATTAGCCTTTTTTCCCCCTAAACTGCACAGCTCAGTAACTAAATGTGACAGACTGAGAGAAGCAGTTTATTAAGACACCAACCCCAAGTTTATTTAGTTCATAAACTCCCTCCTAGAAAATCAATACAGTCTGTACAGGGTTATTAGGCTGACTAGCTAATACATCCAAATCTAGTCTGCCTGGCCAGCAGTCGTCTGACAAAATGCTACCCAGAGTAGGCAAACAGAACTCTTTCAGAGAGCAAAGCTTGAGTTGCTCTAGATGAAACAGGTCTACAGTGTAACGTGTATCTGGCACATTACTGCCAAGGCACAAGCCTCAAAAGCACCAAGTTATCTTTCTACGGTTTAAAAAAAATTTTTTTTTTTTTTACCTACAACTCTACCATGCAATTCTGCACCTGCTAAATGGATTTGATCAAACAAAGTTTTAACTTGTTTGTAAGAATAGTCTACAAAGAAGACAAGCTTTATTACAATGAGACAACAATTAACCCAGACTTAGCAAGAAATGAGTGAACGAGTCAACTAAAACAAAAACCTCAAGCATATACACATGCTGTGCTTTACAGATTTGAAGTTTCAAACATTCATTTTTAAATCCAGTTTTCAAAATACAAATTTGACTCCTCTAGAACTTTCCACTCACTTCCACATATAAACACAGCATGCAGAGTCCTCAGTCTTAGGATAGATAATCTTCTGTCTAGCAAGCAGGACACCTGTATCATTTTAAGGACACAGGTACAAAAACTATGTACCCACTAGGTACAAAGATGACTTCTGAGTTTGTCCACTGGCTATATAGTCTGAAGATTGTAGAATAACTGTCTGGAATCATTTGTATTAAAATTACTTAAAACTAGGGGAGTAAGAAGCAGGCATCACTTACACAGTAATTGTTTTTCTGCTCTCCTGATTCCATGTATTTCCACTTAAAGAATCACAAATCCTAAAGGCTATGTGTTGGCTTTCCCACCCTTACTGATAGTGAGAGATGGACCATGGGAAGAAGTACACCAACTAGGTCTAAATGGCACTAAAGTTATTAAAGATATTATGGAAATGTGAATACCTCCACCTCACCACAACATGTAGCAGAAATACACTTACACAAAAGTAAAAAACTCAAATGAAGTTTACAGTGTTAAAATAGATTGGAGAACGGAAGGAAAAAACAAAAAGACAACAGCTTTTGGAAGTGATTTCTGATGTTTATGATGTTTTCACATTTAAAACGTTCCAAGAAAAGGATTACACTATTAACACGACTTCAGTGTACTGGCTCTAATATACTAAATTCTAAATTTCCAAAAAAAAAAAAAATCTTTATTTTCATAGGACTTTAACAAAATCCAATTTATAGACTGCTGTAAATAAACATTTTTCCCCTAACTTTTGAGCTGGTACTCTACCAAGCATTTCAAAGCTCATGTTTTTGAGTAATCTGTAAAAAAGTTAGATATATAGAGATATAGATATTCTACAAAGAATAGTCTATTGGTATCTATAGTCTATTGGTATCTATACTATAGATACCAATGTCTCAGATCATAATCAAAAGTTGTAATTACAGAGAAATTTTATTCTTAAAAACCTTTTTGCATATAACTACATACTGTGCATGTACCCTCAATGAGATCCAATTAGTTGCAAAGAATTTGCATTTCAGTTAGTGTGGGATAACAAGACTACAGGGAGGCACAATGCAATTCCACCAGCAGGGTAAGAAAGTGTGTTCTTTTTTGTTAGCTCTGTAAGCAATAATTCCCACAACTGACTGTTGTAAATGTTACTGATCTTTTCAATATTTGGGTATTGAGGTGGGTTAGGTTTTTCCCTCCATTAAAAAAAAAAAAAAATCACACGTTGGTGCAGATATGAGCCACAATGAACACCTTGAAGAAACAAATGGGCGAAGGATTTTGTTTTGCGTGTTTGTATGTGGGGTTTTTTTTGGGGGGCGGACTGCATACTTTTTCTTTTCTTTTGGATACTTATTCTAATTCTTTTAAAGGCACATTGCTTTCTTAAAATAAGTTCCCTAAGTGGAGGTAAGGAAGCATCATTGAGATAGTTTCATATAAATATATATGGCTTTGTGATAAAGGCATACATTTAGTGCACTGAGAAATTACTCAAGAATTTTCCTTTTTTATAGCTATGTTTCCAACAATGTAAATCCTAAGCAAATATCAAATAAACGTACAATTTATATACACAGTTTAACAAGCATCTGTAGGACTTCTGCTGGTTCACGGAACAATACCTGTAATTCCCTGGGTTCAGTTCAGCAGCTGTTAACAGATTCTGTAATCTGTAATGACAGTAAACTGGCCTTTGCTCTTCTTTTATTCACTATTCATTTTCAAGGCTTGGTTAAGTACAGAGCTGGGTTAAAGATCAGTGGTTTTTCATGTGACACAAGCTGGTATTCATCTAATGGCTTGTCAAGACAAAACTGTCCCTGTTCTTGCCAAAATAATAAAAATGACGCTCCACATCGCATGACAATCAGCAC